ATGACATTTCAAATGGCGTTCGAAAGATTCATTGATAACTTTTTCAACCATACTAAGAGAAAAAAAGAGAGGATCCAAGTGGCTGGGAGTATCACTCATAAGGAGGCGGATGATGTAGGGCAGTCGATCAGTTTTAATAGTAGTGAATAAATATATTCTAGGAGTAATTAGGAGGATATTATGGGTTTTGACTATTCGTGTTGGGTGCAAATACGTGGGGCTAGAATACATTTGATCTTATTGAACGAAAACTAGCATCTATTGATTGGTAGCCATTGCAGATTGTTTTTTAATATGATCAGGCCTCAGCGCGTTCTCTTCGCAAATATAATGTATATAATGAGGTTTCTTTATTTATATCGTAAGTTTAGAAAAATTATTTGATGACGGAAGTGCCTACACTGTAAATCTAGTGATGCTCTATATTAAAACTCAGCATCACTTTCAGGCAAAAGTGATAGAAAATGGAAATTCCATATTCGGCGAAATTAAAACAAAGACTTATAATGCAGGAAGTGAAATGGACAAAATGCATTATAGATGGCCATAAACTCTAAAATACAGATATTAGTGGAGAAACGGTAGATAGATCTCCTCTCAATGATGAATTATATGAGACTGATTAACTAATTAGAACTGATAATAAATGGGCCAAATCGAGTGTAACTCCACAACTTAACAACAAGACTATTATAGCTATTCTCTGCATCTCAGCAATGCTTCTTGATGTCCCAAAATTTAGACTACTTAATATACACTTATGTTTTTCAGTCGGCACAATTAGCATGGGTATGCTTCTCAAAATAATATTTTTAATATCTATAGGAACCATAGGGAAAGTGGAAGATCCTTTATGCTATATTGCAGCGATATTTGATTTTTAGACTTTAATTCCCTATGTATTTGTGTTGCCAATAAATAGTTAGGGAGGAAAATAAAGGCTAACATGACTCTGTCAACAATATTCTGTATAAACTCGCTCCATATTTTTAAGTTCACGGTAAAAATAATAATATGTTTTGGGATAGGGAGTGAAAGATGTATGATATGTGTCAGCCTATTTGAACTGTTTCGCTCAAACTTGTTGTAGATTTATGGTGCAAAAGCAGTAAATGGGTGTTCACATGGTCTTCGCAAATTAGATGCTAAAAACAAGATACTATAAAAGTTTACTAAACAGTGGAGTCGGATTGTACGGATCTGGGTTATACAAATAAGTAGGAAATTCGATCGCATTTTTACACATCGCAACAACACAATTGGCTAGTTCTCTCACGCAAGAAATGGCCAATTGGATATTATTTGGTTTAGTTCTAGAATGTGATTTCTATTACTGAAATTTCCGATCTACTTATAAATACAAATGGAGGGATACGAGGAACAATATTGGGCTCTAAACAGGAAACTAATACAGTAATTGATGATGAGACCATATGCTAGACAATCGAAAGATAATTATTCCATAAGATATAATCTATTATTTGAAAAACTAGATGTTGAGGAAAACATAAATAAGGGAGAAAATCCACAAAATTTCACAGATAAAAAAACTAATCCCTTGCATTACACAAGAATTGCCTTAATCGAACAGCAAACAATTCGCATAAACAAGATATCCAATGTCACCTAGGCATGAGATTCAAACCTATGGATACCAAAGTGTCAACAGATTCTAAGTATAGTTGTAGTCTCACACAACCAAACCTGAGTTGTCCAGTAAGATAGGAAAAACAGTCCTTCGAGAAATTCGTGCTGGTAGTGCCTCTGAGAAATTGGGGAAAACCAGAAGACAAAATTCAGCAGACTAAGCCAAATGCTTCTTGAAGTGATTTAGACAAATAAAAGTTCAACAGTACGTGGCCCCATAATTAACAAACACCTTGCACGGCTAGAGTTATGACTAGTATTCTGTACGGATAGAAACTACCAAAGCTGGTTTACTGACGCCGCAAAAAGCATGAGGTGCTCATGAATATACGAAATTTACGTGGCGGGAGATACCACAAGCTATGAACGATATACTAGAGAGCTTTTATTAGAGAAAAAAAACAAAACTTATACAGTACTCTTTATGTTCACTCAAGAAAAAAGTTATCCTAGACTTGAGAGCCATTTAAATACCCTTTCCTGCACACCGCCCCTCAATGGACAGAGGATAACAAGATAACCAGGATCGGGTGGAAAGTTATATCACACGTTTTCAGGCGTAGCCTTTCAGTCAGAGCAAGTATCTTCATCTCCAATGCTTAGCAATAGAGGAAACCTAAGGAGTTAACATCGAGTAACCACATATGCAGGCTAAGGGCGTTAGAATCCTAACATGTATGTAGACCAATCTCATTAACAGATGAAGAGGCCGAGCATCAGAAATAGTGAAAAGTCTTCCTGTCAGGATTGGACAAGATTTTTTAATAATGAAGAAAGGGCAAGGAAGTACTAGGCTCCACCAGAAGATATTAGCGGAACAGCACAAAGAGCAACAAAAAATTAAAGAACCGTGCTTAGAGAACGTGGCGCCATGTAACTCAACGAAGCATCGAAGCAGCTAAGACTTTCAGCCCACGAGCACTTCCCTTAATCTTGCCGATGAGCTAGCAACTTGCAGCATAAGCATATCCCCTTGATTCATATTTTCAGAACTTCAAGCAATTACCAAAAATTTACATCGAGAGTTTGCACTACATAATTGAGATGATTGGACATTTTTTTTCAAAAACACAAACCTTATCAAGATAACTTTCTAGAAGAGTGGCACAAGGATTGGCCGCCGTGCTGTGTCTTGTCGATGGTCAATGCATGACTACAAACTTTTCCTTACCACCAAAGTACAAACAGGAATAATATAATAACATTTTTGATGACGGAGGAACAATATTAAGCTAACATGAAAAGCTCAGAATTAATCCGGATTACATCAACTCCCCCACCCCCCCACCCACCCCCCCCCCCCACCCCCCGGACCTTTTGGAAGTTCCACTTGAGGTCAGCATTTTTTTCTCAAAGTACCAAGTTTTGGGAAAAATGCCTCTTAAATTCAATAAAAATTGAAGGAAGACATACATTAGACACATTGAAATATTTAATGCAGATTGACCTCTATATTGTATCCCAAGAGGGGGGAAACCAAGTAAACACGTCCACATAAAATGATATGTTTTTTCCCGATAAGCGCATAACATTTCAGGAGCACTCGTATCTGAACTCCATTATAAGAAGTGTAATGACAGTGCCGACGTATATCTCTTAATTGGACCACATCTAAAAGAAGGCAAAGTTTGCCTAGAGATACAACAGCATACCTGATTCAATGCCAAGATATCTTGATATTTGAGCGCAAATCGTCAAGACATATCTTGGCGTGATTAGGTATGCTGTTGTATCTCTAGGCAACCCTGCTTTTTCGATGTGGCATGAGCATTAATTAAGACGAGCAATCAGAACAGCAGGGTAAGAGCAGACTGCCAGGAAAAATGTACTAGAACATTGATCAGATAGAGAGTCTAGAGTGACCTTAGCACAATCCACTTTAAAAACCAGCGGAGTATGGAGTACCTATACTGACTGAATTACTGAGAGGGTTCCAATATCTGGGTCGACGTACAGCTTTTTAGGGATCGTTAAGGTTTAATCACATTCTCTTGAATCGGTCTCGTTTCGAAAATGGCTGCCTAAGCTCAAACTGGAATATCATTAAACTGTAGATGAAGGAAATATCCAGAATAGAATGTCTCTTCATAAACCGACTTTTAGCAGTAGCAGCTACAACACAATGAGTAGCGCGAATTCTTTATATAAACAATATTCATAGGCCCATTGATTAAAGTTATTATTTGTAAAGGGTGTGTTCTATCTAAACAGCTTAAGCTTCTTAGATGAGATTGGTGTCCACACTTAACAGTTTTGATATCATTTTGACATAGTGCTTATCAGCCATTTCAAGTTTGCAACGAAAGCAAAGTTCTGCCACACTCGTTAATAACAAGTTACTTGAGAAGTTAACTCTGGTTTTAGAGATTGGTTCTTTAACAGTAGGCAAGCGCTAACTATAAGACCAATTCTCCTCCCACTACCCCTCCAGACCTATGACCCTTCATCTCTTGTATCCAAAGGAAGAAAAAGATGGAAATCCCAAAAAGGAAAAGAAAAAAACACAAACAAACAATCCCTTCTCTAGCTTACGTCCTGCTCCACACTGGGATCCATTTTAGTCCTTAAGCATCATTGAGTACTTTGTTACTGATTAAAGCTATCAAACCTGGGACCAAACCGCTGGCATCCTATGCTTCGGCAAGCACCCAAACAGAAACATATTGTTGGTTTTTTCAACAATCCCATGACGATGGGCGCATCCCCACGTCATCGCATTACAAACGCATACAGTATCGATGTTATTTACATTTCCCCCTATTAGCCATGATCAAAACCCGAAGTAATACAGTTGAGATGGTTTCGACCGAACATTCATTGAGCAGAGAAGTATAAAAGGTATACAGCAGCAACGTATCTTCATTGAGAAGTTGTTTATGAATAGTAACACAAACCCAGTTTATAACTGGCCAAAAATATCATCAATCTTCAAGGACACCAACCTCTAGACCAGATGCATTATATTTTCTCAGAAGGAACAATCAATAGTTTGTGTAGACATTTTTTCCTTTTACTAGTGTCTCTCTGGGTATAGGTTACAGGAAAACAGTATTACCAGGTTAATATAACTTGGAAGTTTCCACCATAGCTTGTTTATCAAAAAAGTTACCATCACCGCTTAACTTGTTTCATGAATAATAGCAAGAAAGTAAATTGTCAAAGCGAAGAAATGCCTTATCCTTTGATTCTTCTCATAGTCAAGGAACTATACATTAATACCGATTGAATACAACAGTTGCAATTGTGGCAAAGCAGGCACAGCAAGCACTGCGTCCTCTAAAGGAATTTAGACAAGGAAAGAGCCTATATTTCTAAACAAACAAAGAAGCAGTTCATTTTGCCACTCCCCTCATCATATGAAACCAGCATTACATATATACAGCATTAGAATTTGCATATGTACCCACACCAGAGGCAAAAAGTAAAATGGAACTTCTCTTTTTCTGAGGAAGTAGTAAAATAGAAATTATATTATCAAAAATATCATCTCTACAATTAAGCCAACAGACCAACCTGCAAAAGGCTTGTCCGTAGTTTGCTGCTCTTAAAAGTGTCCATTGCAGTGAAACATCAAATTCATGACCTGCTGCATCAATACATGCTTCAACAGCCTCAGGTAACGAAGACCGTATCAGCCTCAGATTCTCATCAGCCTGGTGAATTATTAGGTGATTAAAATTTTCCCAGAAGCTGAACTTCAAAACAATTTTTCTCTACTATTAGCAGTCACAAGACTAGTTTTTTTAAAACTTATTGTGTCTTGTAACTATTTTACTCAGCACAATCTTTGTGATATAGGCTACTTCATTACAAGAACAACAATGGGAGGGTAGGATGTACGCAGACCATACCCCTACCTTTGTAAAGGTAGAGTTGTTTCTGATCCTCGGCACAACTAAAGACTACGTCATTAATATATTACCTTCTTCACAAAAAAAAAATTCTTCTCTAGCATGTAAACTAAAGGATTTGAGTCATTTGACATCTAGTCACTTACCAAAAAATTTAAAAGAAAACAGATATGTTGTATTTAACAATTCACATATCTGAATGATCATTACTTACCCACTGCCTTAAGATGGCTGCAAACACTGCTGGTTGAATTTACAAGGTTTTAGTCCATAGTGGAGGCAACAAAACTTAATTAACAGAAAAAATAGCATTCATGCAACACCCTTAAACTTTAATAAAGAGCAGAGATGGAGAAGCAAGATCCCATCAATTCTCAATACTAGTGAATAGCAGGTCTTAAAAGAAATGACAGACCTTTATTATTGGATTTCAGCAAAGATAAAGAAAAGACTTTAGCATCACAGTTGTTGCAATTACTCAAGAAATCTAAATGTGAGCTTATTTAAGTGCAAGGCCAAACTTATTTTTCCTCATTATAGATTATCTACTTCAACATCTGTATCAAAAGTTAGCTGACACGTAACCTGAGTTGTGAATCTTTTAGATTCATGTCACAGGAACCTAGAATGTGTTTGGTATTAGGTTAATGTATTCTATAAAAATATGTTAACTGAAAATGTTACATAAAACACTGCTTTATGTCATTGTATGATATTGGGTTAGGAATATAGAAGGAGGTAATTGTAGTAAAGAATGTGGAAAATGATGTAGCATGGCAGAGTATTTATAGTAGGAATTAATATGCTTGTAGAGAGCATTGACTTTATCCAAAAGACAACAGTTAAGGATTTTTCATTGTTTCTGCTATCCTCGTCAAACAGGGTTATCAATTACAATGTCGTAAGGGTATGCATCTCAGGGTACATATGCAAGTACGGAAACAAGTCTGGATGCAAAAGTAGATAAATATTTGTTAGAGAGGTAAATATGTGCACAAATGGACAAGTCTAATGATGCTCATTTTATGGAAATATTTCGAGATTGAAATAGGCAATTGGGTCTTCGTCATTTCATAGAGTAAATACCAAAAGATATAGCCTACCTTGGCACTCCGCCTGTCAAAATGATCTAAGGCATCATAAAGCAAAGCAGCTGGTAGTGTGCTACCAATCTGAAATATGGAGACAGTTGAATCTGGAACACGATGAAGAAATTCCATGCTCATGTTGGAGAGTATTCTAACCCCGTCACATTCAGGGATAAGGAGAACTGGTTCATCATAAAAATAGCTGACAGGATCTCCAGGACCCACCATTAGAAGCTTATCATCCCAGTAGAGTAGTACACTGTCCAATCCACACCATGCTAGCTGCTCGGGGGGTAGGGCTGACTATAAGTACAAAAGCAGTAGCATGGTAAGCGAAGATTCACTTTTTTTTTTCTGGATAAGTTGGTAAAGAAATATTCAGCGATCCAGATGAACTAAAAATTCCAAAAGATGAAAATAAAGGGTGGCACACACATGTGATATAAAATCCAACTAAAATAGCCAGAAATCATTTTTTACATGTGAAAAGCAACAACTCAGATCCAATTGATGCTCAAACAAGTTATATGTCATGGTAACTTGCTTGAATTATTCTATCTAAAAAACTGTATAAACAATAATGTGGTAAGACATCAAAAAAAATCATTCTAGTTAGCCACTTAACATAATACTGAGCAAGTAGAATTTACTTAAAAGAATGCAGAAACGGCAAGTTAAAGCATTGGGAATAAAATAACCTTCTCAAAAGTATAGTCGAAAATAATGCTGGAGAAGTCCGTAGACATAACAAGAAGCCTGTCATCATGTGTAAAAGCTGCCAAAAGCTTCCCATTCTGAGAAACCACCATTTTCTGTAGAGGCCCAATTCCAAGCCCAACTTGTTGAACACCATCCTCTTCCACCAACAACACATGATCAGCCACACTCATCAGTACCTCCACATTCCCAGACATAGTATACTGCGGCTCGATCACAGCCGTACATAATGGAAAATCCTCCAAACCAGTATCCGCCAATTTGATTGGTTTCGGGTTGTTGAAATCGGGTATGCAGTAAACCTGACACGCCTCATTGATACAGACAACACCGTTTCCCCAGAAGATGCATTCAACTACGCTATGAGTAAAACAATCAGCGCCTAGTGTGAGCTGAGAATTCGGTTCAATAGGCCCGGCGTGGATGTTATATCGGTAAACGGTGCCGTCCTGAGTGATGCAAACTAGGGTTTGATCGTCGGTCCATGACATGCCGATGAGTCGGCCGCCGGGATTCTTCCAGACAGTTTCGGAGATCTGAACGCCGGCAGAATTGAAGATACGGAGCTTCCGAAGGGCGGATTCGGCGTAGAGTTGGACGATCTTAGCGTCGTCACGGATGACAGCAATTGGACCGCCGAAAGGAGCGCAAGCGACTTTGTTGCGCGTGAGGTCCACGTTCTTCCATTGCATCTGGTAAAGTTCTGGTTTCCGGTAGTAGCGATTGTGGAGGAGCTGCCATTCTGCGGCCACTGTGACTGCCGCCATTGGGAGATTGCAAGCTAAAGTTTAACTCCTGATCAAAGATATCGTTAGATCAAAAAGATTACTGAAAAAATGTTTTAGCAGCATGGTCAGGTCCGGGGCAGCTCTGCTCCATGTTTACCTTTCTTTTTGAAGATTACTAGCCTCACCCTTGAGCCACCCATGAAGATAAGTTGTATATTTCTAAGCAAATAATCTGTTTGAAGATTGCAAAGATGTAGTAAATGGTATGATCTTAAACACAAAATAGGAAAACATTGAGGAAGTAAATAAGCTATTCTTGAATAAACAAAAGAAAGCATGGTTCAATTATAGAACATGTAACATATGACGAATAATTCAAGGGCACTGAAATATAAATCTTACTTATGTATACATTATCCGAATTCTAGCCAAATATGAAACTATAGCGGCTCTAATTTCAACAACACAGAACTTCGTTATCCGAATTCTAGCCATAGCAAAGTTTCTTAATTTTGGACGAGCTTCATAAACACCAATTACGGTTTATATTTCAACTAGAGAAATTGAATTTCAGTCACTAATATGCAATTCTTGAAGAAAACAAAAGAACGTTCAAAAGGGACAATGTGAATCTGCAAAAGAGGAAAAAACATTGCTAACAATTTAGAACACGTCCCAATTAAGATTTACGATTTAGAGTATTGGGATGTCAACAAAATCAAGAAAAATTACAGAAATTCAGAGATTCAATCAAAATAGAATATCCAAAAGTGAGAACAAGACACAAATAAGAGGCAAGCAAAACCTTCTAGTTTAGCCCCTTCTCAATCGTATTTTAAAAGAGGTTTTTTTAAACCCTAAACTCGAAACTGAAATTTACCATTAGAAAAGTGGAAACAAGATGTAGAATTCCAACCACAATTTTCAAAATCTTACCTAGAAAAAGATTCGGCGGCTCCTTGATCCTTGAAGAGATAAATTTGTTTTGGGTTTACAAGAAATAGCCTGATGTCAAGAGAGAGAAAAAGGAAAGGCGTGTATTTTCGGTATTTTTAACCTCTGGACGGAATAAGACTCAATTAAAAGTCTGACCGAATCAGATCCAACCAGACCCATCCAGACTTTTTAAAATAAAAAAAACAAATGCACTTAATGAGCTAATGGGCTAAGATTTGATTCATTCATATTAAGACCCTCATTAAGTAGGGACAAATTAAAAAATAGCCAGATTTATAGTTAAAATATCATGGTATAGCCAGTTTTCACACTGGTCAATGAAAAATAGCCAGCATTTATCAATTCAATGAAAAATAGCCACTATTTTGCGGCAACAGGGACCGGTCCAGTATAATATACGGGAGTTCTGGTGCATTTGTGTACGAACTCCAGCATATTATGCTGGACCGGTATACTTTGCTAACTCCTGTAAAATTTGCGGGAGACTGGAGCACCAGTGCTCCAAACTCTAGTATATTATACTGGACAATTATACTTGCTGGAACTCCCGTAAAATTTGCGGGAGTTCCAGCATAATTATGCTTGAACTCCCGTAAAATTTGCGGGAGTTCCAGCATAGTTATCTTGAAACTCCCGTAAAATTTACGGGAGTTCAAGCATACTTATGCTGGAACTCCCGTAAAATTTGCGGGCGTATTTATCCGGATTTTGAACAGTGTTTTCACTCAGATTTAAAGTGGCTAAATTTCGATGACTTTTGAAACTTGGCTATTTTTCAACGACCAGTGGTAAATCTGGCTATTTGTGAATTTCTCCCTCCTTTTCTTTGTCTTTTGAAAAAAATAAAGTGTAGTTAATATACTTTTCTTAAAATAATAGTTTAAGTTCTTTCACGTTTACATAATTCTCATTTTCAAATTTAACTTTGTAAGTTTGGATTTGGGTTGTATTTTGACCCATTGTATTACACTAGGTTAGCCCAATAGTTTGATGTGTCATTTCGTATTAAACCTATTGGGTAAATTTTAAAAATAGCCAGATTTACAACTGGTCGTTCAAAAATAGTCCAATTTCAAAAGTAATCGAAATAGATAAATCTGAGCGAAAACACTGTTCAAAACCCGAAAAATACTCCAGTATATTATGCTGGAGTTCCAGCATAAGTATACTTGAACTCCAGCATATTATACTGGAGTTCNTGGCTAAATTTCGATGACTTTTGAAATTTGGCTATTTTTCAACGACCAGTGGTAAATCTGGCTATTTTTGAATTTCTCCCAGATTTATAAGTGGTCGTTTAAAAATAACTCAATATTAAAAGTAATCGAGATTTAGCCATTTTTCATGTAAAGATAAATTTGAGCGAAAATACTGTTCAAAACTCGAAAAATACGCCAGTATATTATGCTGGGGTTCCAGCATAAGTATACTTAAACTCTAGCATATTATACTGGAGTTCCAGCAAAGTACACCGGTCTGGTATAATATGCTGGAAGTTCATACACAAGTGCTCGAATCTCCAGTATATTATGCTGGAACTTTCCGTGTATTGGAGTTCCAGCATAATATGCTAGAAGTTCATACACAGGTGCACCAAACTCCAGTATATTATGCTGGACCGGTCTCTGTTGCAACAAAATAGTGAATATTTTTCATTGACTTGGAAAACGCTGGCTATTTTTGAATGACCAGTCCGAAAATTAGCTAGACCGTGCTATTTTTACCATTAAGTCTAATTAAATGAGGCCTTAGGACTCGTTTGTTTGTTTTAAGATTAAGACGTCTGAATCTGAATGCACGTCTGAATATTAAGATGTGGTATGCAGATCTAAACACTGAATGATTAAGACTGTATGTTTTTCAACATCTGAAAATATATATATATATATATATATATATATATATATATAATTCAAAAAATGATTAAATATTATACTCCCTCCGTTAAATTTATGTGAACCCATTTGATTGGCCATGGAGTTTAAGAAAAGAGAGAAGACTTTTAAACTTGTGGTGTAAAATAAAGCTTACATATATTTTTGTGTGGCTATATATCATTGCATAAAGGTAAATTGTTTCCAAATAAGGAAAAAGGTCATTCTTTTTGGCACGGACTAAAAAGAAAATAGGTTCACATAAATTAAAACGGAGGGAGTATCAATTAGTGAAAATATTAACTTGAACAAAAAAAGTTATTATTTGAGAAAAATTGAAATATTATAGGATATAAATCAATATTTTATGTAAGATCCAATTGTTAAATATTTGAACAATAAATGAAAATTAAATATAATAACAACAATTGTAGTAACGAAATGTAACCAAAAAAAATTTGAACGTAAATTTATCTTTTAATCAAACTTATGCAGCAGATTAAAACAATAAAGTCAAAACTAGTAATTTAGATGCACAAACATTAGAATATTTGAAAAACTAACTGATAATCAGATCAAGTTTTTAAATTTAAATAGTAAAAAAATATTTTAAACGATAAGTAAAAAACTACCAAGAACTTCCTCTTCTTTGTTCTAGTTTGAGTGAGAGTTGCTCGTGCATATCATTCATTATCTGAGAATCTTCAACTGTCCAGCTAGGTCCATCAGTTTCACCCAATACTTCTTCATGTTGCTGCTCTTCGTCATATATTACTTGAGGCAAATCAAACTGATTAAACAAATCATCATTAATGCGCTCCTTTCTGATAAAATTATTAACCGCAAAATATGCAATAACAACATCTCTTTGGATATCAATAGGATATGGAGGCATTTTGTCCAATATCGGAAATCTTGCTTTCAATACTCCATAAGAACGCTCGATGACATTTCTAAGTTGTGCATGCGCATGATTAAATTTTTCCTCCTTAGTTATAGCACGCCTGCGATGACAATCTCCTAACCAATATCGAATATTACGATATGGTGCTAGAAATCCTCGAGTGTTAGGATATGCTGCATCATATAGATAGTATTTGTCTGACATTAAGAAAAAAGAGTTAGGTGATCATATTGAAAAGCTAAAATATTATTTCAATTGCTTAAGTTGTATCACTTACTAGCCGGGGGAAATGGAAAGCCATCTTCTGGGTTAGATACCATTTCCGTTAGAACACGTGCATCATGTGCTATTCCTTCCCATCCAGCATAAACATAAGTATAGACCATATTGAAGTCACATATGGCCAGAACATTATGATAACATTTACCCTTTCCTCTTCCTCTATACATAATCTGTTGATTAGATGGAACACGACATGTATTAATGTCCCGTCTAGTGCACTATTGCTCCCTGCCAATAAATAAATTTAAGTTAAAAGTAAAAAAAAAAATTATTTCTTGTGAAATTCTATAAAGATAGTAATATAATGAATAATACCTTAAAACGTAACCTGTTATTAGCCCAAGGAATATTCATATTCGTATCAGATGTTGTAGGTGCTCTCATCTCATTTGCAAATTTCATCATTGCGTCAAGAACTTCATGAAAGTACTTATGCACTGTTTGCGAAGAATGTTGAAATCTTTTTTTAATAACCACAAAACGCTCGTTATGTCCTATAATGGTTAAGAATATTGCTATCTTCTCTTCGAAAAATATATGATTGATGTCTATGTGCCATCTATTGTGCCTAAAATATTGACATAGCCTAACATATACATCACGTGACATGCACATTAATTCTATACATTGTCGATTATTCTCCTTTTTTGTGGGCGTTTGGACATAAGAATGGTAAAATTAAAAAAAAAAAATCAAGTGAAAATGGTATTTAAAATTTAGAGTTGTGTTTGTATATAAATATAATATTGGGTTGTTCTTGAATTTTTGTGAGTCATTTGAGTGAAATTTTTTGAGAAATAGCTTTTTGGAGTTTTTCAAAATTTCGAAAATTTAAAATACATAAGTGAAGTAGGCGTTTGGACATAGAATTGTAAAATTCCAAGAAATGGTGGAAAAAAAAATTCGTGAAAATAGTATTTGAAATTTAGAGTTGTATTTGGATATAAATTTCAGTTTGAAATGTTTTGAAAATTTTGTGAGGGATTTGAGTGAAAGTTTTGAAAAAAAAAGCTTATTGGACTTTTTCAAATTTTGAAAATTTTTCAAAATGCATCTTCAAGTGCAAATTAAAAATTTTATGAACAAACATTGATTTAAAAAAAAAAAGTGACATTTTTTTATGTCCAAACGGGCTCGAAAATTGAAAATTTTATAAACAAACGTTGATTTCGGAAAAAAGAAAAAAAAATGAAAAAAGGGAAAATTTTCTTTTGTCCAAACGGGCTATTCTTTTTCTTTTCGTTTCTTCCTTTTACTTTTTCGCCTTCTCTCTCGTAGCAGAAAATAGAAATCAAGTAAGAGTGCTATAACTTTGTCTCTAATATAAAAGGGTAAAATGGAAAAAGGTTGATTTTTTTTTTCTGGAAAAAAAGTTGGAACTCCATATACTTATTATAGATTAAAGTTCTTTTTTCACATAAGAAAATATAATGAAGATCCGATGGAACAATTATGAAATTCTGAAATATATGAAGGTCTGACGGAACAATTATGAAATTTTGAAATCCAACTTTAATGCGTCCACAAATATATCTTTATATATACTATTATTGCTAAACTTACAATTAATATGCATTCTTGCCATATTTTATCACATAAACATGATAAGTTAATATGATTTGACGTAAATACCGACACGAGTTAGTTCTTACTTATACTAACCTACCAGAAATAAGATAAAGACCATCTTTCCGATCAAGTTTTCCTCCTTGAAAAAGAAGAATTATTTGATAAGCAGGCAAGTATAAACCACTAAGTATAAACTCTCCCAGGGACCAACCACTATCCCAACTTGAATGATTAACAATATTTCTTAAAGGGCACCCAGATAAATTCACAGGATCATCAGACATAATATTTATATGAAAATCATTTATTATATAATTCTGCATGTGAAAATAAATAAGAATACCCAAGTTGCTTTCACTAATATGATTGCTATTGTTTCTTTTAGTATAGAATGTACTTTGAACGCTAATTCCTCACATAACTCGAAGAAACAACTCAAGAACTCCAAAATCTCCCACTTGAATACCATTCTCTGTCTTTTTGT